GAGAAACAGAACAGTATGGATATAGAAATCAACATTGTATTGGGACTATCAGTTTCATGCCTTAAGTGATCACCACTTGCTATGCAGTGTTGATTTCTATGTCTACACTGTTTATACCTACAAATGCTCTATCCTTGATATTGATCACTGTTCATCCATAAATATAGCAAATTTTAAATAATATATACTAAATAGATACATATAGCGTTTTATTTATGTAGAGTGACATTGTATATATTTTATTCCCACATTTCAGCCAATGTGTTCTTTAGACTCCCGAGTTTAGTCTGAAGTTTCTGAGATGAGTCATTACCATTATTCCAGGAATCATTCACATGAATATCCTTTCTGTTTTTAATATTACATTTCAGCAGATACATTCTTCAGCCTTCCTCATTCTAATATAAGTCAATGTCATTATATCATGTGATATTTGAACTCATTCATTAATGTATATCAATACTTACTTCGGTGTGTAGGAATTCATAGAACTTGTAGAATAATGACAATGTATCAGGTTGAAACGAGAGACAATATTTAATTGAAAAGCTTTAGGTTCTCTCTTTGAAGTAACATGGGTTAAGTTTCATCTTCCATTTTCAAAGTGTTTATATCTGTGTATTGGATCATTTTAAAAGCCATTCTTTTATTGTCATATATCCAGAAGAAGAATGATTTAGATTATGTCCCATTTTGTTTAGGAGTCGGGATAAACAGAAATTCACAAATGCAGCACTTGCCTGAATAACAGAACCTGAAAGATAATTTTTTGACATATGCACCATCATCGTCACAAAAATCAACTTTGTTATAATTAATAATAATGTTCTCCAACAGAACAGCGATTCATAAGTTTGTTTCACAGGTTGATTTGTGAATGCCATTTAAGCTTTAGTGGGTGTTACTGTGGCCTAGTGCCAGAGACTAAAACTCAGCAAATAACCATATTGTGTCTAATTTGTGGCTAAGATACTTGCATATTTACCACCAGTTCAAGCCTAGGTAAAAGCCAGCAGTTCAAATGACTGGTGCAACACAATCTTCCTGTTCTCATTTCACCTTTGTGCTGTAAGAATCATTAATTCTATGTCAGTCCTGAGTTTAAATATCTCAGGGGAAAAAAAAAAAGACAAAAGGAAAAGATAATTTTTCTTTCATAAAAGAAGCAAAAAAAGCAAAAAAAAATATTTATTATTAAAGAGAGAAGAGTAGAATTTGGTTAGCAAATTTTGACTTTAAGGTGAAAGTTAAAAAAAAGAAAAAATTCATACCTATTTTTTTCTTTAAAAGACAACAGTGGGGGGTGCTTCTAAAAATCATATTTTTATTTCTCTCAAAACCTGGTGATCAAGAACACAAGAGTGGATAATGAAAATGAAGAGGAATCAAAGAATACCTTTTTTTTCCCCAAAACTGGATGAGGCAACCATGTTGTAAAGAGGGGAGAGGAAATCTTAACAAAAATAACTCTAACAAAGATCACAAGCAAAGTCTTGTCATCAGCAAAATATCTCTTATACAATATCTCTTATAGAAAAGATATATAACAATATCTGATATAAAAAAAAAAAAAAAAAAAAAAAAAAAAGAATGCAGTTATTGGGGAGGAAAAAAAGCACAAAAAATTCATACATACAGTAAAATATATTTTAAAGATTTTTGATCAAATTTATTTTTTTTTTATTTTACAATTAATTTGACAAATTTATTGACAAAAGATCAACAAGTTGACCGTAATTTCAATGATTATTTTTTGTTAAGAGTTGGCAAAATTCAACAAATATTGCAGAAAAATCAAAAAATTGAAAAAAAAATAAAAATAAAAAAAAGTCAGAGAAAGGAGAAAAAAATAAATTTGACAAAGTTTAAAATTTTGGTCTGAGAAGCAAAGCTAAAAAGTGAGTTGTGAAAACTCAATAAAATATACAGAACAGTTAAATTTTCCTCTTAAAGTTCATTTTTTTAAAAAGTATTGTTTGTTTTTAAACAATAATAGCTTCAAGCTGAGCAAGTTTTAGGGGAAATCAAGTCCAACTGTTTAAAAAAAAAAAAGTTAAATTTACACAATATGGTGGACATCAGAAGAAAAACAGTGAAACAAAAATGTAAAAATATCAAAAATGGCCACAGCAGCTGTTTTTAAATTGAAACATTTTTTGTAATATTTGTCAAAGATTCAGCAGAAAGACTGGCAGTTAATATTTAAGACCAGTTTTATAAACCAAGGTATGATCATCATGTCTTAGGAAAACTTGTGCGTCATAGCTAGCCATATAGAAATCTATTCCTGATATTAGAAATAGTTAAGCAGATGGCAATGAAATAGGAATTATTTGGTCACTATCAAAAATATTTTGTTTTACAAAAAGAAAGGGAAAGAGAAGAAATAATTAGTTTGAATTTGTTAACATATAAATGAAAAGTTTTTCTCTCTCTCTCTCTCACCCTTTTTTAGTTTTTAAATATCTGAAAACTTGTGAAAGCAACAAACAGTGTCTGTTGTGGATTGATAAGTTATTCTTAATTTTTATCATTTTATCCATTCCAATAAGCCACATCAAGATTTCAAAATTTTAACTCTCTCAATTGACACACAAACGTTATTTTTAGTGGATACTCATATTTGAGTAGATACACCATTTATTTATTAACAAGGATATTTATTTATTTTATAAAATAAATAAATATACTGTTTAATAAATAAATGGAGCATCTACTTAAATATGAGTATCCACTAAAAATAACCTTTAAAGTCATAAAAATCTGTAGGATTGATAAATACAAATCTATTACCTTAATATATATATATATATATATATATACCAATTTGTGAATGTAAACTACAGAGCATTATAATAATAATAATCAAGAAGAAAACCTTAAAGATTCATTTTGGTTATAATTTATTTCACGAATATATATATATATATATTCATATCTTCAGACTGAAATCTTTTAGTAAATGGAGACTATATATATATATATATATATATATATATATATATATATATATATATGTATGTATGTATGTATAAAATAAAAATATTTAACTGGAATCCTCAGATTTCAGATTCTGTGTAATCTTGACTCTTTATAAAACAAAAGGCTTTGCATAATTTAGGGACTGACTAAGCAAAACTTAAAACAAATTCTTTTCAAACCTGATTATCAATGCTATGATTGATTTAGAGATTTTAAATATTTCTACAAAGCAATTCTGTCAAAGCAAATCAATTTATTGGGACGTTTCCATCATTTGCTCTGCTGCTTTTGAAGTGCAAAGCTCATGAAAGTCATCCAAAGAGAACAGAATCTCGATTTTAACCCTTTTGATCCTAAGGGGATGTCCCAAGAAGTTATCTGTTAATAATATCAGTTGTTTATTACATCATTATCATCATCATACACTACTTTGGGTAGGTTTTCGTCTTACCCCTAATAAATGATCTTTAAAAAAGAAAACCAGAGTTGTAGTGCTTATTAAGGCTCTCATGAACTTGTTAATATAAAAAAAAGTAGTTAAAAAGTTATTTGTGCGACAGTTGAATAGAAAGGACTAAAAAAATGTCTCTTTCTGCGATTCGTAATAGTTGCACATAGAAAGAACTCTACTCGAGAATCGCATATTTGTGCCATGTCTGAAGCCATTGATTTATGAGAGTAGATGTGAATGGATTGTGGGAAAAATACTTTCAAGAAGAAAAAACTAAATTGAAATGTCTACTGTCAAACATTAAAATAGCAAATGAGGAAGAACTTAAAAATCATGACAAATTATTTTCTCTCTCTCGTTAAAGATCATTCACCTTATCACACTGGAATCAATAATCTAAATACAAAGAAAATGTGTAAAGATAACATTTTAGGAAGAGCATACAAGCAAATTGTGCTGTGGTGGGTGGAATTAAAAAAAAAAACCCTTTCTCTCTGCTACCACTTTGTAGATCTATAGATTCTTTATAGCCTGACTTGCAATTTGGATATTAGAATGGTTTTGATTTTGTTTCTTCCTAGTAAGATAGAAAAAAGAAATATTAACAATTTTAATTTGAACTGTAAATAATAAAAATAAATAATGATAAATAGAGAAGAAAGAAATCCAAAATTCTCTTTCAAATCAAATAAAAAATGTTGCAGTTTTGTGCAATTGTTCCCATTTTGAAACATTTAAAAAATGTTCACATTTCATAATGTGACAAAATTGATAAATGAATTCCTAAGAATTTTGCAAACTAAATGAATTTTTTACTGTTAAAAAAGTTTTCTGATATGAATTTTGGAAAATATAAACAATTAATTAATTTAATTATGACACTTATAATTTACTGGTGTTTATTTCAATAATTTTACTAAACTGGATAAAAAATTTTATTCTAAAAAGTTTTTGCATTGGAGAAAATTAAAATCCCTTTTATCCGAGATGGTCATTCATCGCAGACTATCATGAAATGAAACAATAAAATTAAAAGAGACTATAAAGAAACATTATTTATTATCTGAACACGTGACGCCCTGCGGGTGCATTTTGAATAGCAGGAAGGTTTTTTTCTCTGATTATTTTCATATATTTTTAACATGGTGTCAACTGTCACATGGGATTTTATTTCAAAATGTCCTTGGAGTTTCTTGAAAACATCTCAAATACATAAACATTTGTTTGTTGGAGATCAATTCGAAGTGTCTATCAGCAAACAAATGTTCTAAACATTTCGAGACATTAACTGATTTGAATAAAGTTTTTCTTTAAAAACAAATGAATTATAGACACGATTATTCAAACCAATTTCTTTCTTTTTGGTTTCTGGAAGGAAATGAAATAAATAGGATGGGGCGGGGACATTTATCTTGTAAAATTATAACTTACAAACAAGGAGATTTCAGAAATGGGTAAGAATTTCTTTTTTTTAATTTATATACATAAAAGGAACACATGGGCACACACAGACACACATACACACAAATATTTCACCGGAAAAGCATTGTGCATCCCTTTTATCAAACTAGAGAGAGAAGAAAAAAAACGATTGAAAAAAAAAAGACAAGGGTAGAAAAAGACAAGGGTAGAAAACTGCTATTGTGACAAAAAGAAAAAACAAAACAAAAAAAAAAAACAAGATTATTATTATTATTGGTTAACTAGATATTTATTCACAGATTTCTGCTTGTCAGGTAATTTTATCTGTGGGATAAATTTACCTAAATGAGAGAGAGAGAGAGAGAGAGAGAGAGAGAGAAGAAGAAGTAAGCAAAGCAGAAGATAATAAAAGATGGCCAACTGTTGACAAAGAAACAAATCACTAATCGTTATATTAAAGACATTTGAGAAACCACTGCAAAGTATATTAAAGTTAGAGGGAGTCTTGAGCCCAACTGGTAAAGAGACATGGTTTAAGTATCCACATGGAGCCTCAAATAAAATGAATAATTTTGTATACTAATGAATCCAAATAATCAGTCCCTTGAATATGATGGATTTTACAATTACACTGATTGTAAAGCTTGGAACATATACAAGAGACTTGTTCAAAGTAGAGGTAGCGATTCAAAACAATCATGTTTATTATACAAATATGATTGCTTAAAGAACCGATATGTCCCTGATATGATCTCTGTGTAAAATAGATTTCAACTTGTGAATTTTTATATTTATACTGGCAGTCAACGTGCATTTCAGATAACAATACTGACAGATACAAACTCAAGATTAGCATTAATCATTATTTTATGAAGTGAAAGGAAAATTCACAACCAGTGTTCCAATGGAGTAAAGTCACTTTTATTATTTATAAATTCATATAAGTGAGGTGAAAAATACATCCAGAGAAATTTGCAAAATCTTAAACCAAAAGTTTTCCTTCCTTCCAGATAAACAATGGTATTAAAATACGATCGTCACAGATGAAGTAAAATTTTTTAATCTTTGATTCTAACCAATTTATTCTAAAAATGAGATTCTATTTTTAGATACAGAAAATATTGATAAATATTCTTGTATGCCCACCCGACTACTCCCCCCCAAAAAAAACCAAAAAAAAAAAACCAAAAAAAAAAAAAACCTGCCAATAAGTATTTCTATTCTTATAAAATGAATAAATAAATTTAAATCAATAAAATTTGATTTTTTCAAAAATTTAAGTTATTTTTTATATCCTGCCCTTATCCGTCCCTCCAAAAGCGAAAATATTTCATTGTTTGGTCTAAGCAAACTTGAAACGAAAACCAAAAGGTTGTTATTATTTTATGTTTCAGTTAAGCAAATGTCAACAGGATTAAAGAGACTTAAGCGGTTTGAATCTAAATTGGTCTTCAGAGGTTGAAAGAAAATATTGGCTGAAATAAGTAGAGATAAATGTTGGAGAGAGAAAAAACAAGGAAAGAATCAACAACAGTGAGTTGTTGAAAAGTTCTTAGGCTGAAACAAGATGTGATTAAAGTAAAAGTTCTGATATTATATCAGATTTTTGGGAAGCGAGTCCAGTTGACAAGTTCCCAACACAGCTTTGGATTTGGTCTTAGCAAAATGGGAATGGCTGATGTTTGTTTCTGTGAAGGTGACAAGTTTTTACCACAATGATAAAACAAGCAATTTTCATAGGGGAAGAAATCTTTCGTCAAACAAACAGTTCTGAAGAGAAATAGCGAAAAAATATTGTGCAGATAAAATTGGAGAGAGAATAAAGAGAATAGTTAGCCATGAAAGGACAACTTTTTATTTTATAACGTCAAATTCATGAGCATATATTCAAGAAATTTACAACTAAACAAAACTAAGAGACATTCATTTTAAAAAAAAGAGAGAACGAGAGAGACCATATCACAATAATTGGGTAAGGGACATTTTTTTAAAATGTCATTTACCAAAAAAATATTTCTATAGTATTAAAAAACTTCTTAAAACTATAAGAGAAAACTATTTGGGACTATTATTCTGAATGCATTATCACAGCCGAAAAAATAGCCACAGATTAAATAACATTTTCTACACTTGAACATATAATTTTTGTTTAACCTTATGCTACTATATTCATAGTTATATAACTCACAACCTGAAATTCCAATTAAAAAATAGAGAGAAAACAGAAAAAAAAAGAAGAAATTTTCATTTTATATTTAGAAATAAAACTAATACCAATTCACTATTGCTATAAATAATTGATTACATTAGTATTCTGATCTTTGTGTCTGGTCACTGACATCTCTGGACATTTGTAGTCCAGTAGACATAGACAGAGAGCGTTCATATTTTTTATATCTTTGTATCCTGAACATGCTTATTTTTTTGGATTCAACTTAGAAATATTTTTCTAAGCAGTAAAATGTATGTTATAATCAGTTATTTAATTAATAAAATCTTTCTGGTAAAAATATTACCTGAATATGTAAAATTATATCTAATATAAAATATACATATACTGATATGAGAAGGCTCAGGAAAACAAAACTTTACATTATATATATATATATATATATATATATATATATATATATATATATAACACACATGGGGGCACAAATGTCTTGAGAGAAAAAAAAAAGATGCAAATATACAAGGTCCCCAGTGACCATGACAGTTATCCAGGATGCAATTTTCTTGTTAGTGATAAAATATGTTAACTCGAGAATTATATTAACTCTTTTTAGCTATGTACATCCAGATATTTCATTTTATCAATCTCAGTGATTTTAAAAAAATTAGTAAAAAAAAAATAAAAATTATTCCACATATTTTTGGGGCTATCATCATCATCATCATTATTTGTTTTAGGACTTTAACAATGTTTTGATTGAGATTTCTCCCTCAGCATTTCTCAGGTTCATGCTGTTTAGAAATATTCCTTTTAAACGCTTCATTAAAAACAACAGAAGTGAAGATAAATAGTCAGAAAAATATGTGTCATTATCATAAGATATAATCTGAGAAATTTAAAGAAAAACCCAACAATTAATGTAAATTAATACAAATGAATAAAATAAGACAGACCAGAAAAAGACAATAGTATTTTCAAATACAACAACACCACCAAAATCCCAATATGAGAAAAGGCATATGATTTATTGTTTTTGTTTCTTTATACACACAATAAAGGATGAAAGGGGGTAGAAAGCACCAGTGAATTTGGGGGTGGAAATTAATCCAGACTGAGCCTGTATTTCTAGTTATTCATGGTAAAAATAGAATAACACCTTAAAAAAAAATATCTACCTGTGCGTTTAGTTGAGATGGATTTCATTTTGCCAAATTATCTGTCACCCCTCCATCATCTTCATTGTAGAAAAAAAAAAAAAAAAAAAAAAGAAGAAAAGTGTCCTGCCTAATTTGAAAGATTTACCATCCAAAGGCCTTTATAAAAGTTAATTGAATAGTGTTATTTGAACAGCATGGATTTTAGGAGAGCAAGCACTTGGGAGATGTGCTTTGTGAAGATGGGTTTTTTTTTTTATCACAATAATAACAGAAACAGCCTTCGTAGCGTATGGAAATCAAAAGAATACCATTCTTCAAACAATTTTTTAGTTCAATGACATTTAAATAAAAAAAAAAAACCCCCAAAAAGCTAATGTCAAATGACAATAACCAAGCAAGGCAATAGAAACAGCACTTGATGACCAAGTTATTTGTTTTAAGAATTGATTTGTTTTTTTTTAAAAGATCTTAGAAATGAAATGGCAGCTGTTCATTGTCAACAAATGAGATACATGGCCATTTAATGGAGGAGCAAAAATAGCTAGCCTGATTTTCTTTTTGCTTCTTGTGCAAAATACAGACGGACTTTATGAATTTAACAAATTTCCAGTTTAAATTCAAATTGATAAAAAAGATGGAATCTATCGGTTGAATAGCAAATGAAACAAACATAATTTTTCTAGGTATAAATAAACTCATTTCATAGTTACTAGATATATCTAACTATTGATGTCATGCTATAAATCGATCATATGGCTTAAAAGAATTTGAATGTGTAAAGACTACATTCATCACCTTCAGAATTTCATTTAACATTTTTCTTTCCTATTTATACCAGATTTATAAGGTTGACAATAGGTGTAACAGCTTTTGCTGGTGCCTGGTTAAGAAAAGTAAATACAAGAGAATAGCTTGCACACTGACTCTTTGTCAACCACTGTAACATACCAGTAACAAGACATTTTGTCAAGCTATCTGGTGAGACGGGACAGAGTACAGGAAGAAGTAGTCTCATGCTTTTCCCAAGAGCATTAGTATAAAGTGAACATAAACAGCCCTTGAAGGAATCTGAACTTGGTTTGCTGATTCTATTTACCACACTGATATCTTCTGCCATTGGCACCTGCACACCCATAGAGAAAGAAAGATAAAGTAAAAGAGGTGAGGCTTTTAAAGAATGTGAGTGACCTCTCCTTAAGAAGGGTTATGTTGTGCAAAGGATTTTTAGAATAGAGAAAGGATCCTCAACTGCACTACATATAACAACAAGAGCTGATGATCAGGAAAAAACACAAGTCAGTTTTCAGGCCAAGTGTCTTCATTGACTTGGTCACCCAATTTCTTAAATTTGTTATCACAATACACAACCTTAAAGTAGAGGAAAAAGACAAAGAGAGAGAGAGAGAGAGAAAGAAAAGAGTAAGTAATATTTAACAAAAAGTTAGTCATTATAAACATTTAAAAACCATTATTTTATGATTGTAATTTTAATCAATGCTAATTGGTACCAATAAAAAAAAAACTGGAACAGTACACATGATCTTGATATTCATAAACATTCTTTCCCATTTATTAATCATCATATTTAAAACGAAAATATGGCCCTTGCTGTATAACAACAATTTGGAGACTATTTTTAGCACAGCAAATTTGATTTGCACTGGGGACCTCAATGAGGTACCTGCTGCAGAGTAATGGTTAACAAGCTCATTTTATAGACCATTACAAGTAGAGTGCATTTGATCTTCACAAGGTGCCTTAATATTATGGCCAGGTGAGAGACTGAGAAAAAGTTAGTAATACTAAAAGCTTCATAGTATATAGAGAGATGCTATCATTGAAAGAGAAAATTGGAAAGTCTTTTCAATCTGAAGGCAAAAAATAATGATAAAAATATAAACATTTTGAAGATAATTTCTCTCAAGTTTGAAGAAATATACAATGTGTTCTTATTAAAAGATCAGATGTTTATAGACAGCAAAGGTTTTTATAATATTCAGGTCTTGGGAAATTATTTTTGGCAGAGGTTTTGAGGCAGGGAGAGAGAGAGAGAGAGAGAGATGTACACAATTACAGAAAAGAAAAATAGTTAAATATCATTTTTTTCTGGTGAGAAAATATGATCAACCTGGTAATTCTTATTTGCAATTTCAATAATTCATTTCTATTTGATCAAATTAAGGTTTTAACAATTTGACATGGAGGGCCCAGTAAATGGTTCAGATTTTTTTTTTTTTTTTGGTTTTAAATTCTTACATTTCCTTTTCAGTTTTTTGAATAAAATGTATTTTTCCAGCCATTTTTTTTTAAAGCTGTATTTGATTTTTTTTTTCTTTTTTTCTTAAAGAGTTTTCTTTTTCTGACTTCAAATAACATTTTATGTGTCGTAACTCATTGTGTTGCGGATTCTTAATCATTGTTTTTTCGCTGGATTTCAGGTTCATTTTTTTCAACCAATGGAGAAGATTTCCCAAAGTCTGCTCGAGAATCAAAACTCATTTTACCAGGAGCTGACCAGCGCCGCTTTCGCACTGGCTGACCAACTGACCGGTTTCTACTATCAGTATTAACGCTGCTGCTACTATTATTATTATTATTATTACTATTATTATTATTATTGTCCGCATGGTCCAGACTGGTTTGTGTCTCAGTGCTGTGCGTTTTTGTGCTTCTTTGATAAAGTGCCATATCTGCAGGAGGACTACGATGTCGGCTCAGATAAGCTGATGGTTTAAGAGAATTACTGTCTGTCAACATAGGCGAATTGGGGGTCGTGTTTGTAGTCGGGTGGTGTTCCCCATCAATATCGGTCCCCTTTGGGATTTGCTGGTAGTGCAACTGGTTTGTGTCTCGGCGCACTTCCTTGTGTGTTAGAGAAATGCACACATCCCCCACAGACAATTTATGGCAGTCGAGTCCATAGCGTTTTATTGTTCGCTGAGGACAACAAGATGACCATCCCTGTCCGAAAACGAAAAAAGGGTGCTCCAGGGTAGCTTCCACAGTAACCTGGCAAAGGAAAAAAAAAGACAATAACAGCAAATAAATAAATGTAAAGATGTATATTAATTTTAAGATACTTTATCTTCTTATATTTGATCTCAATAAATAAATAAAAATAATATATATGAGTTTGAAGGTCTTTTCAGATTGTATTTATAATCTCTCCATCCTGAATCATGTCCCTCTAATCCATTATGGTGATCGGGGTACCACATGCACTCCAACTGTAATGATAGCAAATGTGTCTAGGTTAAGATAACTGTGTAGTGCCAGTCCTTCTTCAGGCTGGTTCTGGATTCAGGGTGGGATCCTTTTTCTACACTGGTTGCCCTACCAAGTTTAAATAGCCCAAACTGCCCTCTCGTTTAGTAGGGTTTGAAATCAAAGTTTACCTTTTCCTTAACTGGCTGCAACCTCAAGATAATAGAGATCAGTCTGATCACATATTTAAACTATAGCTAGAGAAAGAGTATCTGTCTATATTTCTGAGATGAGGTATTATGTACACTATTTACATTATTTGGACTATTATCCTCATCTTTGTTGCCATGTTTATCACAACATTTTGGCCATTGTACGCTCTGGCCTTCTTCAGGGAAAGAGGGAATCATGCTTTTAACAAGGGCATTGATGCAAACTGAATGAAACAAACTCAGTCGGAATTTGAACCAAGTATACAAATTCCACTTTCCACTACCAATCCAACCAAATAAAGATATTATAGTTAACAGCATATAAGTCCCCTTCCCCATCAACAACTTCAAAAATATCTTCCAGGTTTTATATAAAAAGTTGAGGTATCTGTTAAGCTTAAGTTTACGCAGATGCCATAAATTACCATGACTTGTCACCTTGTCCAATTCTGTAATAAACGTAAGAGATTAAATGGAAATAGGGAATGCATTAAACATGGTTAAGCCCCCTTCAGAATAAACCTCCTTTTGTTAGAAACAAGGTTTATTCTACAATGTGTGTATATTAAAGAAAAAACTACGCACTTTTTGATTGACTTCAGCAGATAGAGGAAAAGATCATCAATTCTTTAAAAAAGATGACATCTCAAAATAGAAACACCAAAAATGAAAGTGTTAAAAGACCTTGCCAAAATATGTAAGAGAACCAAAAGTGGTTATAAGGGCCAAGAAATAACATATTATAAACCTTAATGATATAAATCTATTGGGAAGGCAACATTGTTTCTTAATAGTAAGTTTACAATTTTCAAAATAAAATCCTGAAAACTCAAATAATAAAAAAAAAAAACAAAACTAGCTTTTAACCCAATTTAGGCCAATAAAATTGCTCTGTCGCTATGGCACAATATTTGAACACAATTTTTGAAAAGGGGTCTTTTTATTCTATAAAGGTACTGAGATACATGCTGAATTTTTGTTTACTTCATGTGTAAAAGCAAACAATTGACTGTTTGGTTGATAAATGGGCCCATTTAAGATTTTGATTCAAATTTATGGTGAAAATACATTTATTTGAAAACAACTCTTGTATTGCAGTGTAATTCAAGCAGCAATAACAAAATTAGTCAATCATTTTTGGTTTTTGCATGTGAAATTTTCTGGTTGTTTCATTCATGAACAGGTCCAACAGTCAAACATATCCAGTGACAGTGAGAAAATGAGAAAAAGACATTGACGACAAATGTTCACTGAAAAAAACCGAGTAAAAATTTCTCAATGTAAAAAAAAAGAAAGATTAAAATCTGTTAAATTGTTTATTTAAATTTATTATTTCCAAATGTTTTAAGAAAATTTGGAGCATAAAATTTGAAGTAGCCTATATATTTACATAAATATTCATGAAATATAGAATTTACCATTCACCTTCTTGATTAATTTATTTTTTATGGCTTATCAACACTTTATTTAAAGTGGAAATATTTGAGATTGTAAGATTAATTCTTTTTTTGCAGGTGAATATCAAATTAATAATTTTTTGAGAATAACAATGATTTTACCAGATACAAGTCTTACTATTTAACCTATAGCTGGAGAGAAAAAGAGGTGGATTCATATCTTTTCCAAGGGTATTTGTGTGTAAATGAATGCAACAAATCTGACTAGAATTCAAAATCAGTTTTCTGCTTTCTAATTCTGAGCCACTATCCATTAGACCATCTGCATATCCATCTTGTTGAAGTAAATAAAACTTGGTTGACTAACAATACTGAGTATTGGCAGATATTAAGTGTGTGTGTGTGTGGGGGGGGATAAATCCATTTCTTCCCCTCCCTAGATATAGGTTAAATATCAGGGTTATATAGCCTTGGTTGGCAACCAGTTTAATAGAAGAATAACTCCAAATTCTAACCAGTTAGAATCTACTTGTTATCGAAACTGCAATGGTATCACCTGATGTGGTATTGTTACAGTCTACAAGTTTTAAGAACGTAAACAGATTGTTGTTGGACTTTGGAGAGGGTATATGAAAACTTATATTTACTTTTTTAGCACTCATTTTGTGTCTGACAAAGTTTACTTTCATTTTAGTTAAAACAAACAAATATATTATTCGTTGCATAAGAGATATAAAATAGAATTTGATAGAATTTACATTTTAATGTCTTAACTTTTTATTAAGTTTCTGTAATTGTTAATTGCCTAGTCACAATTATGATTCATTAAAGGTGGATTATAAAAAAATAACTAAGAAGAAAAAGAAAAAAAAAGTTTAGAAACATAAGAAAGTCAAAGTTTTTACAAATTATATATTTGGTCAAGACTCCCTGCCCCACTAAGAAAATTTGTTAGGGTTCAAGCCTAGGTATTTGAATGCTGATTTTCAAGGCAGACAGATCACTCCCACTCAGAAGATTGGCACAACACAATCTTCTTATATCATGCTGACCATTAGTTGTCCTTGTGCCAGAGAAAGCAAAATGGTCTACTTTGTGTCATTCCTGCTAGGATCAATAGAGAGTAGAAGTCAGGTGAAAAATGGAGATTTTGTAAGGTTGATTTTCAAGGCAAGCAGACATTCCCCATTTGGAAGACTGGTACAATCTTTCTACTCTTATCACCCCGCCCCATTGCTACCCCCTTACCATAACCAAATACAATAATAGATACAATGCAAAAATAATGCAGCTGAAAATCAATTCATGGTTATAGAATAGACTGATCAAATGTAAACAAGTTAGAAACTAACATTGGTGGTTCAATTCCATTATACAACAAATGTCCTAGTTTATATCTCAGTAAAAACTGTGGAGAAAATAAAATTTGTTGACTTTCAATTAACCAGAAGTTAATGAGAACAATTAGCATTTTAATTAAAACCTTCTCCTTTGAAGAATTGACTTAATCAATGCGTAATTATTTGTTTTTCTAATAAAAGGTTGTCTGGATGAATGAACATTACGACAAAGCAATTTAATGGTAAACAAACCAGTGTAATGAAACAGGTGACACTTTTCCATACCTGAACTTTATTTTCACCAACCAGGAAACTGAGAATGGTTGTTCCTCGTTCAATATTCTTGTCAGTGCGAACCACTGTGCTGGAATCGATTTTCAGATCTGCACTGATCTCGGCACTGTGTATGAAATCATCTGTTTGCAAATCTTCCACACGTTTTAGGTCTCCATTAGCAAGTTGAATGATTGAGCCTTTCATGAAATGTGGTGGGTAATGCAAATGAGGGATCATGGGAACATTTGGGACCCCTTGGGCATGTCCAGTGCCCTGGGATTGCGATTGTCCACACCCAGCATCTGAGTCAGAAGAGGCCATTTCACTTATTGACTTTGAGCGCTTGGCTGGAGAAATTGCCTCAGATTTTGCATAACCTTTTGTGCCAGCAGACATGATTTGTTCAGACCCTGATACTGGGCATTCGTTAATCTGGCTATTGGAAGGTCGGGTGAGTATTCTGTGCTTGAGGCTGCCCTCCTTCCCGCTAGGTAGCTTGTAACCCATGTCTTTGTTGAGATCCGATTTGATGGAAGGTTCCTTCACTACTGAGCCACTGCTTTTATTATGAGCAGTTAAGGGAGACAACTGGCGTGATTGCATGTGTTGAGATGTGGAGTGAGATTTCTCGTCTTTTGTTGAAAGACCATGAGGAGATTGGCCATAGCCTTCAACTGCTGCTACGACAGCAGCCTCTGACAGGGAATCTCGAAGTTGTTCAGCTTTGGGTGAGTGCCGGTGCATGAGAGCTTGCTGGCTGGGTGAGTGTCTGATGCTCCCACTCGAGGTGGGAGACGTGGTCGGTGTTGCAGTCCGATGACTTGACAGTGTTGAATATTGAGATAGATGTGTAGGCATAAATGTACGAGGTAGTTGGGACTGGCTGACGTGCTGAGCGTGGCTGCCCATGCTTGCAAGGACAGCAGAATAAGAGTCAATGTGCGGATAGTGACCAGCTGGCGATAAGAGACAGCCGTGGGAGTAGCCCTGTGGATACTGAGCGTAAAATGCGTTGTAGGGTGACACGGCACCCGATGTCATGTGGCTGGCTGGCTGGCCATGAATACTGTAGAGAGACGAAAATGAAGCAATGGTAGTATTGGCAGTTGTGTAGAGAGAACCACCGTATTGCGTACTGTGGTAGATTCTTGGGGCTGGGTCAGCAACGGTCAGTGGAGGCCGAAATAAGCTGCCAATAGACGATTGGCTGCTGTTGAGAACCGATTGCATCTCCAGGTGAGGCGGTGCTGCTGCGTGCACAGAATGCAAGCTGTCTGCTGGAGAAAGGGACAGAGCAGTGCGGCTAGACAAGCGCCTGCTGTGAGCGGTCGTGGTGGTGCCAGTAGGATGCAGAGGTGGAGATCGTCGTCCTACGCTTGGGCATGATCCATCGCCAGCAGCTGTGGAAGGAAACCAAGGCAGATGATCAGCAGGTGTTACTGAACTGCTTGTGGTAGCTACAGTAACTCGGCCAATTCCACTGTAGCCATTTCTGAAGAAGAGAAAATACTTTTTGAATTCAGGTTAAGACAAAAAGCATCAGGATGCCATCTTTCCTGAAGAGTATGATGAACACCGACATCTCAATTGAGAAAATGCAAAAATATCTTCATTCTTCAGAGTATGTCAAAAAATAAGTTCTGAAAACAAATTTTCTTTTTTTAAATGTAACTTTCACAATATTAAAGAAGGAGAAAATATTCATTTCTTAGCTCAAAATTTAGCAGGAAAAATCAAGTCTAGAAAACAACCACATTATTTCTTCATTTCAGTCAGAATTTGTTACACAAATTTGAAATAAGATTATTTTTCTTCAATAATATCAATTAACAAAGTTTATAGATGAGTCATTTACATTTTGAAGAAAATGTTTATCATAATTTCAGTCCAAGCTCATAGAATGTAAATTATGACTTACTGCTATGACTAAAAAAATTAATACCCCCCACCAAAAAAAACCCCAAGATTTTAAATTTTACATAAAATTAAGAAAACAGACTATTAATGCAATAATATAAAGTGTTAAGTTTGAGTGTGTGTTCCTACCAAAATCCAGAAAATCAATTAAATATACAAAGTTCATTGTGTGTGTGTGTGTGTGTGTGTGTTCACTTGGGCCATGCAAATTAAATATAGAAAGTTTGTCACTTGTGTGTGCCCCCCCCCTCAAAATTAGGAAAATTAAAGTTGGTTGTCCATATATTACACAAAACTGCCACATCAAATAAATGTTGCTTTATTTGCATACTCATTTCAAGTGAATATTGCACAAGGTCAGGTTTAATGGAGATATACTATTCACATATGGAACTAGTGACAAAAATTACTCAGTTTCCTCATCATTTTCCCATTGAGATGCCTCAGGCATCAGGGATCGACTGACATTACCCCTCTTAGCTCAGTGGGAGAGGTGCTTGTTGTAGAGATTGTCCCTGGAGCTGAGCATAATAATAGTAAATTTTTATATAAATGCAATTTTATTGTACACACACACATATATTATATATATATATAGGGTGTATAAAAAAATGCTTTTACAAACTTTGAGAGTGAGTTTCTCACACCAAAACAAAGACAAAAGTTCATATAAACCTATGTCCACAAATCCTTTGTTTTTGAGTTATTAAGTTTAAAGAAAGTCTACGATAAATGGTGCTCTGTTACCATGTAGACTAGGTTACATTTGTCATTCATGTACATTTGTGGCTAGTCTGTTGTCAACATTTAACGTGTGTAGTAGCGAGTTAAACAAGAAGTGTTCTGTTCAACAACTGTAGGATATTCATATCGTGAACAGGCAGATATGATTTTTACATATGGCTATGTGAATGGTAATGGACACAAGGCTGCACAGCTGTGTATCAGATTGCGTTTCCAGACCAAGGCAGCCAAGTCATCCAAACTTTGCTACTGTTTATCATTGTGTTGCTGAGACAGGATTTACTCATACACCTGTCCACAAAGAATGCATCTACAGGCTGTCAGAGACAATTCAAGTATCAGCATATCTTTATGGATGATACAACATTTTAAGAGATGGAATAACAAATTTACATGACCAACATTTGTGGGTGGATTTTAAGTGTCTGCCAGCAGTCAAGTGTGTATAGAAGCAAGCAGAGGACATTTTGAACATTTGTTATAACTTGAGGTGCAACAATGGCCTTTTGGACATATGTCTATATGGACATTTTACTTTGTTTTGATGTGAGGAATTCTGCAAAGTTTGTAAAAGTATTTTTGATTATATATATATATATATATATATATATATATATATATATATATATATATATATAAATATATATATATATAAGAGACAGGCGGTTTAACCAAAAAGACTGAAAAACTGCATCAAAATTTTTATGAAACCAAAATCATTTAGTTTAGTGCTATTACTACTGAGTGACCATATCCAAAGAAACACTATTGAAAAAGACTTTGAGATGTTAATAAAATTAAATTTTATCAACATTTGTACCATTGTAAGAGAAAAAGATTGAACAAAAACATGTTAAAAACATGAAGCAGAAAAGAAAAAGGAAATATGACAAATATGACTAGCTATCTCCACTTTTTCATGGAAAACAGCATAGCGTAAAGAAAAAGGCCACAAACTTAATAAAAATAAAGTTTTAATATCAAAATGTATTTTTTGTTTATTTTTTAAAATTTTTTAATCCTTTCTGACATGTTCGAAATTTCGTTAAAATCTTGTTTTGTTTATATCATTGGGGTGGCATAATAATTATATTGATTTTTTTGTGTTTTTTTTTCCATTGAAAACACTGATTTGGAAATTCTTGTAAAAATCAAATATTTGTCTGATTTTAGTAAAATTTTCAAGACTTATTCGCAAATGAGTGAAATTTTTTTTTTTTTTACATATGTTACCCCTGACATTTAATTTCAGGAAATTTCACAAAAAACCTCTTTATTACCTGAATTATTTTTATTTTTTAAAAGTAGAATCTAAATCACCTAATGTTTTT